CTTCTTAATTGTTGCGCGCCGAAAGATTTTTCGGTCTTGCAACGCAACTCTAATAATCTGAAATATCCCCCCTCCTAAATATTTGCGCGCCGATGGATTTTCGGTCTTGAAACGCAATTAATCTAGAAACTGTAAATTTTTACTTAATGAACAGAATTGCAAAGTATTATCCGCGTTATTACAACCTGCGGTTTTGAAAACAAATAATTGAAGAAATAAAGGACTCTTTTTATAAACAATAATTAATACGTTGAGAATGGCGAATAAGAGTCAATCTAAATCTGATAATATATTCTAATATTCTATATTGCGAAGAATATCACGTAATGTTTGGCGTTTCGTCCCGGCTTCCACTACTGGACTCATCAGTAAGGTATTGTAGTGGAAGCCTACCTTAGACGCCGGTGTAAGTTATTAAATCGAGATTCTATATAAAGAGATATACGCGTGTCTCAGCACTTGCAAGAATTTGCGAATATCGATAGACCTCTGATGGCGGGTCGACGTAGTAATATTCTTTATATACTACCGTGTCTCTAGATGAGGCGCACCTGAGCCGGGACACCTCGTGGGTAAAGACCTATAATCAAAGATGCGCCAACTGTCCCCTACCACTACTTCTGTCCGACATCTTGTACCCATACGTAACCTAACCCTTTTGTAATGATCATGTCAACAAACTGGAGTTGGAGTATCAGAAGAAAAATCTAAGATGTTGCAAACTCTACAGAGGGAATGTACGATCGCATCCGAAATCATCAGATGTTTGAAATTGAAAAATAAAATACTTAAGAGCATTAAAATAATCCTACGAAATGTATCGAATGAAAAAGACAATACATTTGATGGAACATATGATTAAATATAACAAATAAAAAAATAATTATACATGTTTATATATTTGAATATTGATGATTAATAAAATTTTCATATATTTGAGCAATTAGTGTCATTTTTAGCTTTAAATTTTATTTGAATCTAAACATTGAATGTTAAAATATTTAGAATAAATAATATCATAATATCATAATATTACATATGTATTTCATAAAACAAGACTATACTTCGCAATTTTTACCTACATATTTTTATAACCATATACGTAACATATTTTATAAATGAAACATTTATAATTTATTTAATTAATAATAATTATTTTTATTTTACAAGACCTGCCATTTCCAATTTATTACGTGCAGCCAGTGCATCCATTAATTCATTCGAAAAAGTCCATTCGACCAACGCCTATATCTGGTCAGGTGAGAATATTTACATAAAGGTACATTGAACATTTAATATGAATCGTAATAACATAAAAAAACGTTTTACTCAATATATTAATAGGTTATTCGTTTGAGAGATGGTTTTGGGCCTAGTAATGGTTATGTTGAGGTACAAGGTGTGCTGCCTGGTTGGGGTATTCTATGCGATTCTAGAAATAGTTGGACTTTAAGAGAAGCTCACATTTTATGTAGACAGCTCGGATATAGCAGGTATGCAAACCAAAACTATCACAATTTAAAGACTGTGTTGGAATTTTTAGTAAATTTATATCTATACATTATTATATTATGCAAATATCAAAATATAAATAATGCTAATAAACTGAGCTTGGTGTTAATACTTATAATATATTTACAAATAAACAGAATTTAATACAAACGTTTCGACCTTTTTACAATAGATCATCCTCAGTGTAACAAGTTTGTAATTATCCGGAAAACAACGATGACATATTTATTTTTTCATTACGCGTGCCCAATACCTCAACGCTTTTGCGTGCGGGAAATAGCCAATACCTCAAGCCGTTGATTATTTCCCCACTCTTCTATGCAAAAACGTTTCGGTATAGGCACATTACGACGGCACTTGTAATAAATAAGGCTAATAAACTGAGCTTGGTGTTAATACTTATAATATATTTACAAATAAACAGAATTTAATACAAACGTTTCGATCTTTTTACAATAGATCATCCTCAGTGTAACAAGTTTGTAATTATCCGGAAAACAACGATGGCATATTTATTTTTTCATTACGCGTGCCAAATACCTCAACGCTTTTGCGTGCGGGAAATAGCCAATACTTCAAGCCGTTGATTATTTCCCCACTCTTCTATGCAAAAACGTTTCGGTATAGGCACATTACGACGGCACTTGTAATGAAAAATTCTATGTGTAGCGAGTGGGGGCATATTTGTTTATACATGTAATGGAAATGAACGTAACACTTTTGTTTGAATCAATTCTCTTTGTCAGATTTCTGTCGATATTGCTCTTACAGATTTTATCTAAACAACCAAAATTCTTTCTGTCGAAAATGTAATTATTTTTAACACAGATTAAATTGGTACAAAAATAATTATTTTGAAGAAAAACATTACCTCAATATTTGCGATTTTGTAGCTTTAATATTTAGATTTCATAAATAATAGATCCATGATTTATGCTAGTTATCTGGGTTGATTGTTACACAAAAATGATGTGACAGAGGCAATCGAATCTACTTGTACCAATACCGTGGGGCGGGGGGGGGAGAAGTATAGAGTAGTGGTAAAATTATTAAGTGAGGAAAGAATTGAAAATGGAAGAATAAGATTCTGGAAATAATTCTGAATCGTTTTGCTTATTAAGACTATGAGACTATTTCTTTATATGTATCACTTCTGATATATTTCTTTTTATGCTTGAAGGTTCATAATCCATTACTTTTACGTGTTACCAGGCGAACTCATGTGTTTCGAATAGTCTGTGTGATTAGACAATACTAAAGGAGATAATACCGCTCCTTTTAATGATATATCTGATTACATACTGATATTCTAGTTCTCCAAACTGTCTCTTGGTTTTTGGCCACATACGATATATTACAATTAATGCAGTTTATTCCATAAACCACTCCACATTGGGACATATTGTCCAAGTGGTGTTTGGCAATTTCTTTATAAATTTTTTGAGATTGTGAGGAATCGTAAATGCAATATTATGTTCTAGTTTTTTTATTAATTGGCTTTATTAGAAATAAATAAAATATTCTAAAAATTTTTTCTAATATTTGTTAAACTCATAAAATATTATAAATAACATTAAAATGTTATCATTTAAAAATAAGTAATGAAAAGGCTCGACATGTATAAAACAATATAAATAAGAAAAAGGGCAAAGAACCAAATATGTTTAACGTACGTATAATTTAAAAAAACAAACTATATACATATAAAATTCCCAGACGTTTCGACTCCGATCGGATCATTTTCAATGTATAAAAGTAAAATTTAAATATAATTAAAAAAGTACAATAAATATAAAACATTCTTTGGTTAAATAATACAAAAATTACAAACAATCTTCATCCAAACTGCATAATTAAGGTACAAAAGATGTAGAAAACTGATGTCATAAGAGTAAAAAAGGTCCTAATAAAAATACAAAATAAAACTTAATGGAGTCATAAAAATTATTTTAAAAGTATATGAATTTATGTACCTTGTTAAAATTGGTAGAAAAAGAATTAATAGGTATGGTAACCGACAGTGGAAGTGCAAGATTGCACATTCTTTAATCACGCGATCGCGCCTCTAGCGCGATGAATATTACCATATATGGTCCGATCGAAGACCAAAAGCGACATCATCAAACTCAATATAAGCGACCGCCTAATTGCCGAGCGCAGAGTCTTGTCATAAATCTAAACGTAACGATACGTTACGCGCGTCGCGATAACCGAGTCAAGTAACATCCGCGATAACGTTCGTCGCCCGACCGGTTTACTCGTAAGTCACGAGCGAGAACTTTAAAGTATATTCATTTAATTAAATAATTGTATTACTTAAATAAAAGGTTACGATTACTAAAATAAATTGTAAACTATTGTAATAAATAATTATATCAATGAAAGGTGCAACATTTGTAATCAATTATTAAAATTGTTAAATAAAAGAGGTTATTTTAAATAAAAGTGTGATGAAATTAGTGTTTGTTCGACGACCTTTTTCACTATCCTCGTCTTTCCTCGTGGGTTCCAACCCTTTGAGCGGATCGAATCTCAAAATAATATCTTGTTACACCAAGAGGTACAACAATTCATTTCATATCCGTCTTTGATTAAGAAGTTCAATATCTTTTTTATGTACTTGGCGTATTTTTTTTCTTTTTTTAAAAAGGTTTCTTTAAGGGATATATACAATACATGTATGTAAATATGTTTTATATTTCGATATTTTTATCTATAAATGAGTATTATAAACTTTCATTATTTAGAATGATAAAATGATTGACAAACGTTGTATTATATAGATTATTTTCTTTACTATAGGGGCGCAGAAATGGCTTGGCAAGGCAGAAACAATGGTAATAGTACGCCAATTTGGATCGCTGCAAATATTGTAACATGTTTCGGCAATGAAACCAAATTTCAATTATGCAAGTAAGACATAAGTTATCAGTGTTTTATAAATATTTTTTTTATTGAACAAAGATGATCAGACAATAAAAATCTAAATTTCTTATGCATATAGCAACAATAAAATATTTGTAATTAACATTTTTTTATTTTTGTTAAGTTTATGTCTATTTTTTATTTGCAATGTTTTACCAAAACAAATTGTAATAAAAATGTACTAAAAATCATTACAATAAAATTGATCATGATAATCATGATAATATAGATTCACACATAATCAAGAGTGCCGCGTGGATAGAGATGCGATTGGTGTTCGATGTACTCCCAATCGTATCGCACATTGTTACAAGGACGAAACACCTCATGATGGTCAATGTTATCACTTAGCTGATAGTGGATTTAATCAAGCTGAAGCATTGGAATATTGCAAACGAAGGAATGCACGACTCATTGATATTACTAATCAGGCGGAAAATAACTTTATTTCGGAATGGCTGATGCAATCATTTCCAGAAGTTAGTTCAATTATGACTTCCGGCCTCGGTTTTACTAGCATGGGTCGTACCTTATGGCTCTGGGCGGATTCTGCTCATGCCAAAATCAAGTATGATTCTTAAAAAGGCTATAGCTTCTATTAAATTTGTTCAATTTATTTTACATTATTAATATTTATATCTTTATATTTTTATTTATGGAATAGAATATTTATTTATTTCAGCGTTTTTGACAAAGCCAGGAAGGGGACTTACAATTTTCCTTACCTCACTCATCCATCCATACCTTTTGTATACTTCTTAATTGCACATTTATTTTTCCTGTCCTTAACTTACCTATAACTTGCCTATGAACTATGACTTAAAACTACCTCTATATAGACTATACTATACATATAACATATTATAATACTTACACATACATATGATAGTACAATATATACAATATACAAACAAAATATACACATAAAACTTAAGCTTTAGCTGATAGCCATTTTACACAATCTATTTTACATCACACATCTGTTATTTTTTATTTACCTTTTTTTATTCTCAATTCTTAGTTCTTAATTCGCCGGACTTATATTACATACCTTTTCCTTATCTCTATTACTCTTATCTTACTCCTACCCTTTTGATTTTTAATACACAAAACTTTTCTACATAATACCTTCTAGTATCTTTTAAACCTTAACCATTATCTTTGCTCACCTCCTTTCTTATTATTGTTCTTATTTTTTCTTTCCATAGACTTATTATTATCCTTTCTTTAGATTCGTCTAAATCATCACCCCATATTCTCTTTATTATCTAGCCCCATATCTTTCTAGCCACTATTTTTTCTTTTCTACTCAATTCTCTAATATGATTCTTATAATCTCCTCTCCTTTTTAAGATAAAACGTGAATATTTAAATTCGTATACCTCTTCCAGCTCCTTATTCCCCATTTTCATTTCCCTTTACTCTTTCTCCTTGTCCCTCCACATATCATAACTTTTGTTTTTTCTATGCATAACTCTAGATTCCTTTCCTTTAAAAATCTTTTGAGCACACTCATTATATCTTGCATCGCCTCCCTATAGCTATCAAAACTATATTATCCGCATATGCTAAGGACCATATTCTATCCCTACTTATTCTTACCCTACCTATCCCTCTTTTCTCCAATTCCCTATCCATATCCGCAATATATAAATTAAATAGGAGTGATCTCAATACAGAACTCTCCTTTCATTGTCCATGGACCATATTCTAGCCCTACTTATTCTTACCCTAGCTATCCCTCTTTTCTCCAATTTCCTATCCATATCCGCAATATATAAATTAAACAGGAGTGATTTCAACACAGAACCCTCTTTTCATTGTCCTGAACTGTTCCGTGTTTCCATGCTTCGTCCTTATCCTTACCTTCGTCTCTGCGTACATTTTCTCTAACCTTCTTAGCAAGTATTCACTTACACCTTTACTTCTTCAGATTTCCCATAGCTTAAATCTGTCCACTTTGGTCCAATGTAGCTTTTAAATTCGCAAACAACAGAAAGACATTCTCCTTCCTAGCTTCTTGATTTCTTTCCCTCTTGATTCCTTTCTTTTGAGTATCTCTTTTTGAACATGGCTTGACCTTTTCATTTTTATGATATGATAACGAATTTCCTCTATAATTCGTTTGTCCTCTCTTTGTCTCCTCTTTTATACAATGGTACAATTATACTTTCCTTCCAATCCTGCAGCAACGTGCCTACCTTCCATATTTTTTGTATCAGGCACGTCAGCCTCGCTTGCAATCCCTCTCCTGCATATATCTATGCCTTCATTGGAATCCCATCTATATCTGACGTCTTTTTCTTCTTCATTTTAAGTACCACCT